GAGAACTCATGTCCCATAGTCCCGGCGTGAGTTCCAAAGGGCAGAACTTTACTCTGTCTTTACATTTGAAGAGACAAGGCCTAGGCTGGGAGCAGTGACGCACACCTCTAACCCAGCACTTAGGAGGCAGAGGCAGGTGGATCTCTGTGAGTTCAAGAGCAGCCTAGAGTACACAATGGATTCCAGGACAAAACAGAGAGATCTTGTCTTTAAAAGCACACCACACACACAGACAGACAGACAGACAGACAAAGGCCTGTTTCCCAAACTGGCCTGTAACTCCTGGACCCCAATGGCCTTCCAGCCTCCACCTCCTGGGTAGGTAGAACCACAGGGTGAGGCTGGCTCTCCTATGCCTTCCTGTGTGTAATGGTTTGGATCTGTCTGGTTGGTTGGTTTTGTTTTTTGTTTGTTTGTTTGTTTGTTTTTTTTTTGAGACAGGTTTTCTCTTGTAGCCCAGGCTATCCTGGAACTCAGAGATCTGCCTGCTTCTGCCTCCCTCTCAATGCGGGGATTAAAAGCGTGTGACTCATTGCCTTGCTTGCTGACCTTGACCTTGATATCCTCCCTATGCTAATTCCTTCCCGGGTTTCACCCTCCTGAATGCTTAAGGGAAGTTCCTTGTCTGTGTATGCTGCATATTGGGCATTAACAGCTTAAATGCAAGATTGAAAAACATCGGTAGCAAATTTCTGCCCTCCGGGGTTCTCCCATTGTGCTGTAAGCCTGTATTTAAGACCTCTTCCCTCCTCCAATAAATGGCATTCGGCATTAAAATAAAAAGCCAAGTTACAACGCAGTAACCAGACTTCAAGGGAGAATTCATACCAGCCAGCCAGACCTCCTCCAAGGATATAGAAAGCATTCAACATTGTGTAAAACCCTGTAACAATGCAGGATTTTTTTCTTTTGTTTTTTTCTCTGTTGTAGATTATTTTAAGGTGTGTTACTTTTGTTTATGTTGCATTTGTTTAACTCTGTGAAGCTGTGATACTGTGTCTGTCTAAAACACCTGATGGGCTAATAAAGAACTGAATGGCCAATACACACACACACACACATACACACACACACACACACAGGCTTGGGAGAGTGAGTTCCAGAAAACGCGCCAAAACTACACCGAGAAACCCTGTCTCGAAAAATGATAATAATAATAATAATAATAATAATAATAATAATAAATACTTGGGAAAAATAACTTAGAACATAAACATACTGAGCCCACTGAGGGAATGTAAGCAGTTACATTTCTAAGTTTGGTATTCTGTTTGCCAGTGTCTTGGTGACTTCTCACCACCTTGCACACAGACCATCTCATCTTTACTGTCCTCTAGAGAGCAACAGACTATTTCTAACTGTAGGGATCTACGCCTGGTGGTGTTTCGATTCACTGGCTTCGGTTTGCTATCTGCTCTGACAGTGTTTCAGTAGGGGTTTTGGGGTTTTTTTGTTTTTTAGACAGGCCTTCCTCTAATCCAGGCTTGCCTCCAACTCCTGGCAACCTTCTGCCTCAACTTCCCAAGTGCTGGTCTTTGTCTCCTGCTCTTAAATAGTAGTACTCTAGACACAAGGCATCAGGCTGGCTCCCCCTCTCACCTGGCCGTCAGCTCGGGCATACCTGTGCCATCGGGTGTTTTCCTCTCTCCCACTAGCCACTTCCTACAGGAACGGGACTATATCCCACTCGTCACTACAAACTGGCTCCTGTTAACCGCTGGATGCATCCCGACCCAGAATTCCAGGCTCGTCCAAGAGTTTCGTTTCTCCTGGACCAAGGATGCCACGGCTCTCTTACTCGTTATCATTACCTTCTTTAACTCCATCCTGCAGTTCCCCACCTAGAGATTCCCGGCTCTGGGCCAGCGCCTTCTTCCATTTCTCCCTCGAACTAGCAAGGTCCCTCCTTTTCAGCATTATTCCAGGACTCACCCCTTCCTTCCAGCCCCGGCCAGTTTACACGGGGGGCTACCTTTCCCTCTGGTACCCCTAAAGATCAGGCTGACCCGGGACACACCAACCCCCCCTCCCTGCGTGTAGAGACTGGAGCAGGAGTCGCTCAGCCTCGGGTTCGAGGACGGACTAGAAGCAAAAACAGGAGGCTGCGTGGACCCGTACCGAGAATCCGGACCGGACGTCAGGGTCGCTGCCCGCGAACTCGCGCCGTCCCGGGGCAGCAGCGCAGACGACGACGACGACGAGGAGGAGGACGGGGCTCAGACACCTGTCCGGAGCAGGACACCAGCTCGGGTCCCTCCTGGCCGGCGCCCCCTGCGCTCCCCAGAGCGGCGCGCACACCGGAAGTTCTGCGCTCCCGGAGGGCGGGGCCGGAAGGAACCACCCGTGGTGGGTGCCGGCCGGGCTCGGCGCGCCCCGGGCCCCTACGCGCGCGCTGCGGCGGCGGCGTCGCGAGGCTCTCACGAGCCACCGGCGCGCTCGTGATGCTCGGTGACTCAAGTGCGCGTGTTTCCCTCGCTTGTCCTTCGGGCCCTGGGGCGCGGTGAGAGACAACCACGCCCCCCTTTGGACGAGGCCATTCACTCGGACCAGCGAGGATGTTGTTTGGGCCGGGACAACTCACTTCCGCCATCGAGACGGGAGGGGAAGAAGGGACGGGTGGCTCTGCGCTGCCTCTGGTGGCCGGGCTGAGCCACCGGCGGAGAGGCGGGGTCCCCGCGACCGAGGCGGGGAGCCCGGGGTCCAGGCCCCCACCTCCCAGGGGTTCCCTGGAGCCGAGCGCACGCCGGTGAGCTGCACGACGCCCAGTGGGGACCCGCACTGGTGCTGCCCCCAAGTGCGCGACAGCCAGGCTCACCGAGCTTCTAAGCCACAGGAAGATTTGGGAAAAGGAGCTCAGGTTCCCAGAGGTGTCTTCATACAGAAGCAACGCTCGGTGTTCTGCCGTGACCCAGCAGGTCTTCACTTTAACGATGACGCGGTTGCTTCTCTGACACCACCCATCCTTTCCGAGTTCCCTTAGAAACGGGGAGCTTCTGTGAGGGGTCACACGAGAGAGACCTTTGTGATCCATAAGGTGTTCTATGAATACAGATTAAGTGTTCCCGCTGTGCAATTTCTCGGGGCGTGTTTAGTTGTCTTTGTGGTTGGCAAGCCAGAGCCCCTCAGGGTTTGGTCAGTTGCTGGGAGCGCCTAGAGCGCGTGCCTGTCCCCCAACTTCCAACAGAGGGCACTCCGGAGTTGTTTAAACGTGAGGCTGAAGGTGATCGGTTTCCAAACACATTTCATCTCCCAAAGCAGTGACTTTTGTATCTAGCACTCCTACAAGGTGGATAGGAAGTTAAGTCACTTGCTTAGGTCACTCAGTAAGTAGCAGACCCTGGAGTTCAAACCCGTGCATTTTACCAACACGGAAGCTCACCTGTCTGCCTTCCGCAGAACCCTCCACCCACACCGCCGCTTGCTAATACATTTCACCAACCAGGGAGGAATGCGTCACATGTACAGCACCTACTGTCTAGCGGGGAACTGCTTTGATTTACAGTATCTTTGCCAGCTTTCCTCCATGTCAGTTTTAAGCCACAGGACATGGATGAATTTGGAGTCTAAAATGCATAAAGGATTACTCTATTTATTGATCAACTAGGAGGAATGCAGTAAGGCTCCTGGGGATTAGAACTAGGGGTGTGTGTGTGTGTGTGTGTGTGTGTTGGAATTGAACACACTTGTACATCTCTCTACCACTAAGCCACAACCCTGTCCTGCACTCTGTCTCAAGCTCTTTGCCGGCACCCTCCTGAGGACATCATTCAACCTTGGTAACTATCACGCCAGCACTTCAGAGGCACTGCAGTGTACGGGCTTACCTACAACTGTGCCTTTCAATCGAGATAAGACTCTGCTCACCAGCCCCAGTTTACAGATAATGAAACCGGGGCTCAGTGGCGTGCAGTGGTTTGCTGCAGTGGTTAATTGTATGTGTCAACTTCAACCTGACTGGAACTCATCCAGACCCTTGTCAGACAGGCAGTGAAGGTATCTGCTGGGAGTAACACTTGAAAGAGGTAGACTAAAGGAAGTAGATGGTCCTCCCTAGTGCGGTGGGCATCATCAGGTCAGGTGTGGGTCCTGACAGAACACAAAGTCTCGCTCTCCTGCAGGAAGCATTCTTTACTGCTTTAGGGCTGGGACATCAGCCCTTCCTTGAGCCTCAGAGTCTCCAGACTGCAGCACTCAGACTCAAACTAAGCCGTCTGCCATCACTGGGCCCTCTCTGTAATGTAAACTGTTCCCTGTAATAGACATCCATCCCTCACATCCGTCACCTCTCTCCCCGTGTGTGTGTGGCTGTGTCCTTGTGTCTTATGAGTTCTGTGTCCCTGCAAACTTTAAGACATTTGCCAGGGCCCACAGCTGCTCTTTCCTCTTTCAACCGGATGTTTTTGCTCACTTTGTTGCTGTTGTTACTCCGTTGTTTTTATTGTTGCTGTTGCATTCGTGATTTTGAGAGAGCCTCTTTCCAAGGCTGGTTTGACTCTGCGCGTGCACGCACACACACACACACACACACACACACACACACACACACACACAGTACTGAAATGACAGGCCTATAGCGTGCCTGTCCTCTTCTCCTCCTCCTCTTCCTCCTCCCCTCCTCCTCCTCCCCTCCTCCTCCTTCTTCTTGAGACAGGGTTTCTCTGTGTAGCTCTGGCTGTCCTGGATCTCACTCTGTAAAACAAGCTAGCCTCAAACTCACAGAGATTCTCCTGCCTCTGCCTCCCGAGTGCTGGGATTAAAGGCATGAGCCACCACCGCCCAGCGTGTGCCTGTCTTCTTTGCATCACTCTTCTCCCTGCCCCGGTCTATCCTCCCGTTTGAGCCTTTACTGCCTGTCATTCACGCTGAGTCAATGACATTTCTCTGGTTTCACAAGCTGGCCAAGCCTCGCCTCCTCAGACCTTCCTGACTTCTTCCAGGGGACCCAGGCCTTGAGTCCCAGCGTTGTCTGAATATTCCAGTCTTAGCCAAAAAGAATGGTTGTGTGTGTGTGGCATGAGTTCTCTGATCCTACGCCTTGACCCTGTGATCAAGACACAACTGTTTGGTCAGGCCTGGCGGCCCGTGACTGTGATCCCGGCTGTCAAAGCCAACCTGGGATATAAAGTGAGTTCAGGAACAGACTGGGCAACTAGAGAGGCTTGTCTCAAAACCAGTGGTATAATAAAGGCTGGAGAGATGGCTCTGTGGTTAAGAGCACTTGCTGCTCTTTCAGAGGACCTGGGTTCAACTCCCAGCACCCACATGGAAGTTCGGGTCCAGGGATCCAGTGCTCTCTCTCTTCTGGCTTCCCAGGGCACTAGGTACCAGGCATGCACATGGTGCACATACATACAAGCAGGCAAAAACAATTATATACAGAAAATAAAAAACAAATAAATTTAAAGGTGTAAAAAAGAGTTCTGGAAATATAGCTCGGTGGTAGAGCATTTGCCCAGCATCAGACCCATGTAATACCATACAGAACAAACTGACCTTTCTAACTCTATGGGAGTTCCAAGGCTTAGAACAAAGACGAGCCAGGAGACACAAGCCTGGCCAAGAAGCCTCAAGAAGTGGTGTGAGGGCTGGAGAGATGGCTCAGTGGTTACAAGCACTTGTTCTTGCAGAGGACTGGGGTTTGACTCCCAGCACCCACATGACAGATCACAACTCCAGTTCCAGGGGATCCGGTACCATTTTCTGATATCCAGGTAGTAAGTGCAAGACATACCTGTAAGCAAAACACTCATACACATAAAATAAAATAAGTCTTAAAAATGAGAAGAAAAAGAAATGTGAGGCCAGAAAGGAGGGCAGTTACCCCCGTGTCCTAGGAAGACGCTGGTGGCCCAAAGAGAAAGGGACACGTTCAGAGGAAAGAGGGAACCAGGCCTGGTAATCCCAGCCCTTAGGAGCCTGAGGCAAAAGGATCGAAAATTCAAGGCCAGCCTGGGCTACAGAGTAAGTGTGAGGCCAGCCTGGATCACACAGTAAGAAAGACCGTGTCGAAACAAAACAGACAAGAGACAGACCCACCAGGGTTAAGAGAGATGGCAAGTCCCGTGCTCAAAGGTGGGAAGTGACTAGACACCATCAGAAGAAAAGCCAGGCCGCCGCAGAGAAAGCAGGACAGCGACCTGAGCAGATGGGCAGGAGGGGGAGGGTGCCAGGAAGCCATGGAGCTTCACGGTTTTCTGGAGAAGGGCAAGAGGCTGGCAGAAAGGGCTGAGAGTGGAGCTCTGAGGCAGCAGAGGCAGGCACAGAGGCAGCCCACTTCCCGGCGAGAGTCCGGTGTCCCGGCAGCCAGGCAGCCAGGGCGCTATCAGCCATGCATGCAGCCGAGGCCTGGGGAGGGACCTTGAAGACCAACCCAAGTCCTTGGAAGCAGGCAGCTGGCGTTGCCTGATGAATGTGGCCTCAGATGGCCCCACCTCATCCTGGGGTATACCCAGGGGGAGAGCTGAGCCCTGAAGCTGGCCCCGAAGGCCACTCCAGCTGCTGCAGAGCTGACCCCAGTGACGTCACAGGGCGGGACTCGAGCCCCGGCAACAACAATGAGAGGGACTGACGTCAGGCCGGGGGCTCCTGACGGTGGCCAGCCTCGCTGGATAGCCAGAACCCTGTCTGCTGACCCTCTGTCTAGGCCATGGGGACCAAAGAAGACCAGCTGTCCTTTCTGACAAGGGTCCCCTGGGATCAAAAGCAAGGGTTCCTCCACCTCCCACCTCCGGCCTCTGTGGCTGAGCAGAGAACGTGGAAAAGACAGTAGAGAAAGCAGAGGCGGCGAGGATCATGACCAATCAGACTCCCGGCCCCAACTTGCCACCCTCACCAGGCTGGGTGTTCATGTCCTCTGTCTGACCTCAGGACTTTTAGGGAGCTGCCCTTCTTGTGTTTCAAGTGTTGTGTGTTCATTCCCTGTATGTCTGGCCAACTTGGGGTGTGAGTGGGGCTTTATTTCTGTGCGTCTGTCCCTCAGGTGGGAGATTCCGCCCTTAAACAGTCATGGGTTTGTCCCTCTGAGAGCATGTGTGTCACTGTCGTTCCCGGGGAAGGAGTCTACGTGATCATCCTGGCGGAGGGGAAGTTCATCGCTCTGCTTAGGGTCAGGGTCTGTATCTCTCCCCCGGGACTGTCTCTCTGGCCCTGGTTTCAGGCTAGATGGGGACTATCTATCTTTATGGTATTCCAGCTCCCTGATACACTGGGAGAGGACCCAGGTTTCCTGCTTGGTTACCCCAAGGCTGGTCTCCTGGGTGGGGGCGCCAAGCTGGGTAACCAGGGCCAGTCAGCACCAGGTCGGCCTGGCTTGCAGCTGGGCACGGCTCCCTGCTAACACAGCATGTACCAACCAGGACAGGCCCCCCCAACACCCTCCCCTAACGGGCTCAGCTGCCGCCCGCAACCCCCACAGCTCCAGGGAGCCTGATTTATGGTCCCGAGTGGAGGCTAGATATTGCCAGTGTCTGGGTCAGACCTTGAAGAGACCTCAAGTGGCCCCCCAGCCTGCCAGGTTCAGGGCCCAGCAGGACAAGAGGGGAGCCAGAGCAGTGGGGAAGAGGAGCCTAGGGGAGGCAGGCACAAGGCACAGGTCAAGGCTGAGGGCCCCTGGGGCCCCTGGAATGCAGGGCAAGCCTGGAGTCCAGCTGGGGAGCCTGGGATGGGCCTCCTGCCCTCAGAAGGGCAGCAAAGAGGCTTTTTCTTTGACCTGGTTCTGAAGTTTCAAACTCCTGCTAGTCTTCTGAGGCCTTAACCAGACAGTCCCCCCCCAAACTTAAGGTTATGGAAAGGAGTTGGCAGAAGCCTGAGGGCCTATGTCTAGCGTAGGGCAGAGGCAGCCTGAGGCAAACCCAGGTTCCTCTGAAGGGAAGAAGAGCTGTTAGCTGAGCTATGGGGCTGCAGGAACAAGCCTGGGCATAACTGGAAACCAAGCAGGCAGAGGTTCACCTGTCATCTTCAGGCTTCGAGGAGGCTCTTTGGTCCTGGGCTCTCTCGGAAGCCAGAAACTTGTCGGGAAGGGACCGGGCTCACTCAGACCTTGAAACCCTCCAGAATCCTTGGCTCAACTCTCCTGTGAGGCCATCCAGAACCACCCTTGGCCAGGAGACAGCATGGACCTGCCTCCTGTGGCTGCCCACTGTCCGGGGTCACAAAGGGGTCTCCCACCTCAGAAGCCTTCTCATGCTTCCCTCTCCAGCACTGGGCCGTGAACCACGGACACGGCACGACTCAACAACAGCGTAGAAACTTTCAGAAGTTCCTCATCTCCTCGGGGCTGACCTCCACCTCCCTCCATAAGGGGTGGTGGCCAGAGACCAGATGTGAGGCAATCCTCATCTACCCCAGATCGAAAGAGAAAGGGAGACACTGCTGTGCCCACCTCAAAACCGACCCTTCCCAAGACACAGTCACCTCGGGGCTGGGGAGGGGGCCGGGGCCTCTGGGCCCTGGGCCCAGCGTGGGTGGGGGGCAGCAGGGAGGCAGGTTTCCTGGGTCTCCCGTGAGGATCAACAGCAGGCTTTGAGGCCTTGGAAAATCCCGCCCGGGATTCCAGGCGCTGCCAGCGTCACCGCCTTTTGACTATTGTCCCCATCGGAAACGGGCCCAGCCCCCGGCCGGCGGGGACAGAGCCGCCATTGTGAGGCCCCAATGGGCTCAATGCCCCCTTGTTCGCCCTCTCAGCCCCTAGCAAGACTTGGAGGCCAGTTCTTCCAGTTGCTGGTGGAAAGAAAGAGCCTGCCTCCAGGCTCCAGCCTTGGGGTGGGGCAGGGCAGGAGTGGCAGATCAGCCCCCACCCTGTGCCCCAAGTGCCAGAGTCCTGGAAAGGAATTGCTGTCGGTTGGAGAGTCTTTTTGCAAAGCATGGGCTGGGCAGCCCAGTGGTCAAGAAACTTCACACACCCAGCACAGCCACTTACGCGAACCCTAGGGAAGACGTCGTTTCCTTCCCCGGAAGAAGGTTACCCTCTTTCAAAAATACAGCGGCTCATGTTGATCCAGGTACAGGCCTATAATCCCAGCACTCAGGACGATGAGGCAGGAGAATTGCTGTGAGTTCAAGGTCAGCCTGAGCTGCACGGTGAAACTGTCTCAAAACAAACAGAAAAGCAGGTCACGGCGGCTCCTGACTGTGAGGCATTGGAGGCAGAAGGCTGGGGAATTCTCAGTCATCATCGTCTGCCTCCACCAGTGACAAGGACTCAGTGGGGGGCGGGGGGACGATGACAAAATGTACAGCCTTAAAGTCCTGTAAGGCCGAGAGTCTCCTGGGCCCCACCCACACATGGCGAGGAAGCGTGAGTCCCTTTGCCTTTCTCAAGGGCTACCCTGCCTTTACGTCATCGGTACTAACGGTACAAGGAAAATGAGACGGACGAGTCTGGCCATCAGCTACTAGCATTCTACTCCCAGCTGGTGCCATCGAAGAGATGGGGAAACTGAGGCTGGGTCAGGCAGTGGCCTCTCTCAAGCAAAGACAGGGGTGGGGTGGGGGGCAGGTGCTAGGGTTGTTGTTGGGGCTCACTTGGGACTAGTTAGTGTCCCAGGGTACATGCTTCCGTCCACAGCACCAAGGGGGACGCCACCATGCTAGGCATGGTCTTCCCATGGGCCTTTCTTGGGCCAGAGGCTGAAATGTATTCCCAGATCTCAAGTGAGGGTGCACAGCCAGAGTCCCTTAGGAAACCACATGGAGTGAGCCAGGGAGGGCACTCACTCCTTCCTGACCCTACAGCAGACTGTCTTGCCCTCTCTGATCCAATACCCCGTTATCAAGAGGCCATGGAGATGGTGCCTTAGTCTTGGGCCAGGGGTGCTGAGGAGTGGCTATGCTGTGAGGGTCCTGCCTTCAGGGCTCCGGGGAGATTCTGGAAATGAATGTGAAGTTGGCCAGCCAGGCCCTGCCTCTGGCCATCCTGCCACAGGCCTTAGGTTGTTGTCCGTTTAGATTCACGGTTCTCTGGTCATCTCTACCTCTCCTCCAGTTCTGGGTATCAATCAAACCCAGGACCTCACACATTCGGGGCAAACTTTCCTTCACTGTGCTACGTCTCCAGCACTGGACCCTGTTCCTGCGCCAGCTAACTGGGCTGCTGATGAGCATGGGGGCCAGAAAACGTGGGACGTGGACACAGATGTCACTTAAGAACAATCCTCCTGCCAAGAATCCATGCACTGCGGGCCGCGTGGACCCTGCCGCTGGGCCTGGCAGAGGGAACGCTGATGGAGATGAAACAAAATTCACATCAAGATCAGCTGCCACCATCCCAGGCTCACGAGCACACATTGAAACACCTCTGACCTTAAAAGCGCTGTGAGCATAGGTTTGCTGCTCTTTCTGTTTTTTTACAAATGTACAAACCAAAAAAATCTGAGATCTGGGGGTACAGCTTGGTGGTAGAGCGCTTGCTGAGTGTATGTGAGACCCCCAGCATCACCCCCTCCACTTCACCCCCAAATTAAAAAGGACTGGGGTCAATTCCCGGCACCCATATGGAGCTCACAGCTGTCTGTAACCTCAGTTTCAGGGAACTGGACACCCTCAGGACATACATGCAGGCAAAACACCAATGCTCATAAAAGTTTAAAAAAAAAAATCAAAATATTAAAAAAAAAAAAAAAAAAAAACCAAGCTGGGACTCACACAGTAGGAGACCCCCCAACTCCTACAAGTTGTTTTCTGACTTCCACATGCATGCTATGGCATATATGTACACACATACACACATGCATGCACGTTCATGTGCATGCACACACAAAGCAGTGTTTTTTGCTTTTTGCTTTTTTCTTTTTTCCTTTTTTCAATAATTGAGTAAAACCGAAATTTATTATAAGCCACAGTCGTCCTAGGGACCTCCATGCTATATATATATAGCCTCCATGGTTCTATGGGTTGTGGTCTGATTGTTCTTTATTTTATATCTAGAATCCACTTATGAGTGAGTACATACCATGACTGTCTTTCTGGGTTTGGGTTACCTCACTCAGGATGATTTTTTTCTAGTTCCATCCATTTGCCTGCAAATTTCATGCTTTCATTGTTTTTCTCTGCTGAGTAGTACTCCATTGTGTATATGTACCACATTTTTTTCATCCATTCTTCCGTTGACAGGCATCTAGGTTGTTTCCAGGTTCTGGCTATTACAAATAGTGCTGCTATGAACATAGCTGAGCATGTATCTTTATGGTATGAATCAGCATTCCTTGGGTATATGCCCAAGAGTGGGATGGCTGAGTCTTGAGGTAGTTCGATTCCTAATTTTCTGAGAAACCGCCATACTGATTTCCACAGTGGTTGTACAAGTTTACATTCCCACCAACAGTGGAGGAGTGTTCCCTTTGCTCCACATCCTCTCCAACATTGGCTGTCATTGGTGTTTTTGATCGTTTGCTTTTGTTTTTCTATAGAGTTTCTCCATTTAGCCTTGGTTGTCCTGGAACTCATTCTACAGACCAGGCTGGCCTTGAACTCACAGAGATCCACCTGACTCTGTCTCCCAAGTGCTGGGATTAAAGGCGTGCACCACCACAGCCTGGCTAAAACCATGGAATTTTTTTTTCTCTTTTTAACCAATTTTTTTTTTTTCCAGAGCTGAGGACCAAACCCAGGGCCCGAGCTAAATACCTAACCCCACCAATAAATATTTTAAAAAATATTTTAGCCAAGTGGTGGTGGTGCACGTCTTTAATCCCAGCACTTGGGAGGCAGAGGCAGGCAGATCTCTGTGAGTTCAAGTCCAGCCTGCTCTACAGAATTCCGAGAACAGCCAAGGCTACACAGGGAAACCTGTCATAACCACGCCCCAACAAAAGTCTAAATCATAAAGTATCCCTTACCCCAGGGTCAGAACCCTAAGAGACCGACCTGAGACTAGATCTATCCTGGCCACTCTAATCCCCGGGGGGAGTCGCCATCCACTGCGGGCCCATCAGCCAGCCGTTACCAGAGGCCTGTCACGCTAGGAATGAGTTCCAGATGCAGGTAGAGGGTGCACATCCGTAATCCCAACACTCAGGAAGCAGAAGGAGGAGGACAGCTTAAGGCCAACTGAGCCACACAGCACGTCTGCCCTACACGTGCTGCACAGTGAGACGTGTGTTTGCGCGAGAGAGGAGAGCCAGGCCCCGTCATGACCTGCCACCTGCAAGTGAGTAACGCAGGCTTACCAGCCAGCCCACTGGCGACAGCTGAGATTTCCCCGGCGCTACGGCCACATCTTACGTAATTAATTACAGCAGAACACACAGTGACGTCAGAGAAAAGACTCAATTTCAGCTACAGGTCTATTTTTTATTCAATATATTAAATATATTAATCAGAAAAGTCACATCCTATAAATCCAGGAAAATACACAAATATAAATCGGAACCTGCCATTCACCTTGAGTGACAGTTATGTACATGAGGAAGGAAGGGGGAAGAGATCTCAAGTTGGAGGCTGAAAGGCTTGCCCAGGCTGGTGGGGGCCCCACCCCCCTCCCAACCCCCACCTCAACCTCTTCCTTTCTGTATTTACAGCAGCTTCGGCTTATTTACAGCAGGGTGGTATGTGTTAAAAATGTTTTGTCTTACAAAAAAAGAAACCACGAAGGCCAGGACCGAGCTACAGGGATAAGACAAATAGTGGGGTCACCCCCGTGAATGCACCCCCTCCCCCAGGGCTTGAGCTCCCTGCCCATCTTCTGGAATGAGGAGGCGAGTCAGTCTTAGCTCAAAACCAGGCTGGGGGTGGAGTGCTCTGGGGGTCCGTGGGCTTAAAGGCACATGGGTGACATAAGGGCACATACACACACACACACACACACACACACACACACACACACACACGTGCACACGTGTGCACACGTGTTCAGGGTAGGGATCAGAAAGACAGCGTGTCCATAAAGATCTTGTCCACAATCGGTGGAGGGGGCACCAGGTCCTCCAGCTTGAGGTAGAAGATGCGCTGCAGGCCTTGGGTGCACAGGGTTCGAAGCTCAGGCAGTTTGCCCAGCAGACGCGACAGGCAGCTGGCTGGCTGGGGCTCTCCGGCCACGGTAGCCATGTGCTCCTTCAGGCAGCTGGCGATGCGATTCTGCAGCTCCTCTACCCGGCGAGGATCCTGGAGCCCATGTCGGTCTGCGGCGGCGGCAGCAGGGAGTACAGAGTGAGTGGCTCAGCTGACGCCCTCTCCCCCAGAGCCCCCCAACTCCTCTAGCAGGTCCCACAGGCACTCATTCCCCAGACCGGTTAAGCATTTGAAACGATTGTTTCCACCGTCCCAAGGGAGAGAGCGAGGCCCAGACAGCTTTCCTGACTTGCCTAAGTTCAGACCAAGGAAATAAAACACTAATCCAGGTTTTCTGGAGTACAGGTTCCACACGGTTTTGAGGGAGCCTGGGATCTCACAGGAGGAACCTCACTACCCCTTCAAGCCCCGGCTCTCCTGATTTTGTCCTATTCAGGCAGGTCCCCTAAGAAACTTCAGTGGGAAAGGGGGAGAAGCAGAAGAGAGAAACCTCTACCTTTATCACCGGAGTCCAACCCCTGTGATATATGTACCCACAACAGGCACAACCACTGTGGCTGGCAGGGTGGCTGCCTCTTACAGAGACAAGAATGGGAGGGAGCCTGAAGAGCTGAAGCTGGTCCTCTGTTTCTGGGCCACAGCACTGGCTATCCAAGTGCAGCGTGTGAAAAATTCACGCGTGCACTTTCCTGTGTGCTGCGAGATTGACAGGGAGGTTTCCAAACAAACTGACTCCCTACACCAGGTCCCCAGCATCTAAGGCTGTGTCTCGGGGAGGCTGGGGAGCTTTAGAGGTGGATACAGCCGAGTCCCCTTCCAGGTCCTGACATCCCAAATGCTGCAGGCACTCTAGGGGTCCCCAAATGCTAGAGGCCACCTACCCAGTGGCCCTGCGACCCTGGGGCCCAGCCTGGTGCTTGGCACTCACCGGTGATAAGGACCAGAGCAGACAGGCAGGCAAAGGCAGGGACATCCACAGCCAAGCTATGCAGGGACCGTGAGAAGGTGAGGATGCTGTCAATCCAGTCGCCAAAGCCTCGGGCACACTGTAGCCGGTGTAGCACCAGGCCTGAGCAAAAGATGAGCTTCCCTTCACCGGGCTTAGATCTGGCAGGAGGCAGAGGACAGTCAGGACTTGGGTACGGACAGGCTAGAGCAGCAGGGTGAGGAGGATGGTAGGCGGGCGGGCAGCTCACCGGTAGGCCAGGCGGAGAATGAAGAGCTCCAGGAAGGCGGACTCCAGCAGCAGGTCTTGGTCTCCCGGGGAAAGCTCGGCAAAGCCAGGGATCTTCTCGGCCCACTTTCGGATGACGTCCAGGGAACCCGAGAGTAAGTCATAGAACTGCTGCACATCGCCGGCATCCTCCTTCCCAAAGCGGGGCAGCGCCAGCTCCTGGAACTGAAAGGGACCAACCATGAAGAGCTAAACACCATGTCCGGCTGTCACACCCTGGCACGTCAGACCCAGGAGGGCAAATGAGGCCTAGACTGGGCCCGTGTGCTTGTCAATCCCCACAGGAACACCCAGGGCTACGGCAGCGGTTTGTAACTGGTTCCCCCACCCCACGCCCACCCCAGTGCATTTAGTCGGTGCCCAGGAGGAGGCTCCCCGCTTCCTGATGCTGTCCTGGAAGGAGAACCTCTCCTAACAGGCAGGCACTGCATACGTTCCCAGGGGCGGGGCAGGTGGGCGGGACCTCACCTTGGAATAATCCAACTTGGCGGTGCTAGGCCCCGAGTCCAGATGCGCCCGAATGAGCGAAGTGAGGAGATTGGTCGGGGAGACATCCGGGGGCTGCTTGGGTTTTGAAGGCAGCCGGCCCCGCCGCCCCTTTAGGCTGTCTGTCCGGACGACTGCAGAGAAACGGGCAGTATTGAGGAAAGAAATGAAGGGGAGTCTTCAACTCACCCCGTACCCACCACTTGGACGGAGAAGTCAAAGACGGGGAACCCAGGCCCACCCCACCACCCCACCCGACCCTGGCCCGCAAGGCAGGTGCAAGCTGGGTCTGCGTTTCGGGGCTGGAGTCTAGAGGTGGGAGCGGGAATTGGAGGCGGATGCCCGGTGACCCTGGCTGCCCCACCCCGTCGGGCGGGTCGCCCCGTCTCACCACCCACCTTCCTTCACCATGCCCACAGCCAGGCACTTCTGGAAGCGGCAGAACTGGCAGCGATTCCGCCGCCTCTTGTCCACAGGGCAGTCCTTGTTTGCCAGGCAGATGTACTTGGCACTCTTCTGTACTGTGCGCTGGAGGGGGGGAGACACGGAACAGGCTGTCAGAGCATGGGGGGGGGGGAGCCCAGGGGAGGGGACCGTCCAGATCCTGCTGCCGACGACGACGACGACGCAGACAAAAGCACTCTCTGTTCATAGCTATTTTCCTAACATTTGGGTGCAGGGGAGGGAGACATCGAGGGCCAGAGCGGGGAGAGAAGTCTGGGGCACGCTGGGGGAGGGCCCTGCCTCAAAAGGAAGATTCCAGAGCCCGAGTCGAAGGGGCTAGGACCTCGAGGCCGTCCAGACACCTGTTCTGAACAGGTGTCTGCCTGTGTCCACCTGCCCTTTCCTGGGGCAAGGAAGAGAGACCTAAGGGGGTGGGGGGGTGGGGGTGGGGAAGGGAAGCCAAGCAGGCACCCAGCACCGGGACAAACACACAGCCTGTTCCCAAGTCCACCCCCAGCCTGGAGGAACCAAACCCTCTGCCTGGACCTTTCATCCAGTGCCAGGAACACAAGTGCCCGTGGCCCCCTCGTCACCAGGGCGAGGGCGGGGGCAGGGGAGAAGCAGAGGCTGACCACTAGCATTTCTGTTCCTGAACACCACTGCACGAGCCACACCTTCTGCCCCCCTCCCCGGCTTTCTGCAGGGCTAGAGCTCTGAGTACCCTCCCGGGTGAAGGGTCCCAGGTTCCCGGGGATACACCTGTCCTCTTCCTGCAGGACAGAACCAGCTGTGAAGGGTACTACAGACCCCAACATGGTGAGACCCATCCCATCCCCACTTCCAACAGGGCTGCAAGCACCCACAGTATCTTCATCAAAATACCTTGAAGAAACCCTTGCAGCCCTCGCAGGTGCGGACCCCGTAATGCTGGCACGAAGCGTTGTCCCCACACACGGCACAGCGGCCCTCACTGCCGCCCGAAGCCCCACTCCGGGCCTTGGTGGAGGCCACAGGTGCATCCAGAATCCCGGAGGTGTCAAGGTTCGGAGAAGTGGGCGCCAAGCCGGGGAAAGCCGCTGGCATGGAATAGCTCTCACCCTCCCCAAGCTGGTGGGTGGCTGGTGGTGGGAACAACTTTAGGGAACTCTGGGCCAGGCTGGGGCTGGGACCGGCTGGGGGACTGAAGGAGAAGAAGGTTGGAGGTGGTGGAGGCCCGGAAGCCTTGGGTAACTGCTCTGTCCATGCCCGAAGGCCTTCATAAGTCTGGCTGGGGGAAAAGTGGCCAAATGAGCCGTCCCAAGGAGAGAGCTGGGGTGGCTGGAAGCTGGGCGTAGATGGCGAGGGAGCCGAGCAGGGGCTGCCATAGTAATCAGAGCCGCTGGAGGACAGGGTCTCATCTAAGGGGCCACTCAGGGTGCCGGGATAACACCCATACACCTGGAAGTCCTCAAACTTGAAGGAAGCGGAGGCAGGAGAGGTGGCCGAGGACGAGGAAGAAGACGTGGAGGAGGCTGACGAGGAAGCGGAGGAGCATGGTTGGGTTGTTCCCGGCAGCTGGTACAGGAAGGTGTCAAACTCTCCGGTGTACCCGTCCATGAAGGTGCTGAAGCTGGGCAGGGTGGTGGGTGCGGTGGGCGCTGCCTCAGGGCTGGCCAGGTCCATGGTAGGCTTGCTAAACTCAAGGGCCAGGGGGTCACTGGTCAGGTGGTCACGCGGTCCCGGGCTCGCTGCTGGTGTTCCATATTGGGCTTGGATACAGGGCATCTCTGGAGAGGGAGGAGACCCGAGGGAGGAAGGGGAGGAGCCAGTAAGAAGCAGCAGAAAGCCTGGTGGACCCGGGGGAGCCTGGTGGCAAGACCACAGAACCCAGGAATCCTGATCCCCGAGCCCAAGCACTATCTCACTCTGAGACACAAAGCACCCGGGCAGAGACCCATGAGCCCAAGAGGGCTCAGTCAGAAGGCCAGCCACACCCCAGTGGGCCTGGGAACCCTAGGGAAGGCATCTAGCCAGCCCTTCCCTGCAGGAACAGGGGGAAGTTGTGTTCCTCCAACCCCCAGCCTCCTGTTCACGGGTGGGGGCTGGGGGAGGCAACCCACAGAGCTTCGGCCCAGCCCCCAGGAGCAGATCTGCTGATTTCTCAACCAGGCACTTCCTGGGAATACATTCCCAGGCACATGCCAGGCTCTGCATACCCCCTTCCTCACCACCCCCACCCCAGTGTCTGTCTCCACAGACGTCCTGGAAATGGAGAAGCTGCAGGTCATGGTCCAACTGTCTACCACAGTGGCCTTAGGAACAAGGCAGCCCCAGATCCCAGCCCCACCTCAGCCCTGTGTGCTGATCCCACAGGCACCCAGTCCCACTCTCTGGGGCTGCGCACCCACTCTGTACTTTCTGGAACGTTTCCAGGTGTTGGGTAACATGGCTACAGAAGTTTAAATACCATGTGCTGGGGGCTGGAGAGATGGCTCAGTGTATAAGAGCATGTGCTGCTCTTCCAGAGGACCCGAGTTCAGTTCCCAGCACCCACATCAGGTGGCTCACAACCATCTGTAACTTCAGCTCCAGGTCACCTGATGGCTCTAGCCTTGTAGAGAGAGCGCGCGCGCGCGCGCGCACACACACACACACACACACACACACACACACACACACAGTTAAAATTCATTAATAATAAAGTCTTAAATACCATATATCAGAGGGAGGTGAGGGACTGAGCAGGAAGACCCAGAGAGGAGCCTCTGGACACACAGGAGAAAGGGCCACTCCCAAAAGGAATTTCTCAGCTAACCGGGTCGTTTTTTTTTTTTTATAAGAGGACACTTAAGAGTCCAGCAGGAGACACAAGTTCGTTAGGCAGAGTGCGGGAGCCTGCTGCTAGATGCAGGAAGACAACCTGTCTCTGCCTATGCTCCCCTGCTAAAGCAGACGTCTGCTTCTTGTAGCATCCAGGGGCTTGGCAACGTGTCACACACACACACACACACACACACACTGGAGCACCTGAAAGAGCAGAGACAGCACCATTCCAGGGAGACCCTTAAGTTTCTATCTGTTCAGAAATCCTGCAGAGGCGGCTCCAGGACCTAGCGTCCCTTCCAACCTCCAAGTCTGGGGTCTGTATAGTTCTGGCCTTTCTAGCTGGGAAGGCAAGCCACACAGAGGCTCAAGCTGGGACAGAGGATGGGACGTAGACTGTCACCACTTGCTGGCCAGAGCCCTTGAGGCCCTCTGGCCCCAGCATTTCCCCCATCCCCACCCACCCCTAGGTGTCTGGACAGCACAGCCCCACCCCTGGCCTGACATGGAACTTCCCAATAACAGTGACCCCCAAGTTCCTGCCCTGCCTGCCCAGTGGCACGTCCCTCAGGCATACAGCACCTGTGAGAAATCAACATGGCCACTTCTGCCTCTGCTTGGGAGAAGCAGCCCAGGCAGGGATGGGTTGGGGGTGGAGGAAGAAGGGTGGCAGCCAGTCAGGACTGGGCATTTGTTCCAGCCTCATTCAAATCCTGTTTCTCCACTTGGACATCCTACATCCGGATCAACCCCCACCAATCTACCCTGCTTCGGGCAGATAGTCAGCAACACAAGATACAGACCTGCATCTCGCCTCCTGGGGTGTGTGGGGGAAGGGATAGTCCCAAGGGGGGGGGGTGGAGAGGAGGAAGAGGCGGGGTTGAAGGAGGGAGTGGGAGAATCCGGCTTGGGGCAGGTCCTGGCCACACAGCGGCTTGCACCTGTTAGGTGAACAAGCCTCAGGTACCTACTTAACAGATCGAACAGGGACCACTGGGGTGATCTGCAAGCCTGTCTTTGACAAGATTGACAGGGGAGTTATCCCCCGGTCAGGACCACACTAAGACTCCAGCCTGAGCACTTCCACCCAGTCTCCACGTGTCCCTTTCCCTGACTGAGCCAGGGTACAGCTCAAACAATCCTTCGTATACTTCTAGACACACTGACCCTGCCAACTTAGTCCAACGCAGCAACCACCCCGCCAGTCTAGCTAGCCATTTCCTTCAGCTCCTGCCCCGTTCAGGCAGAAAGTTCAGCAGGGGAATCTGAAATTTTAACTACAGCCTATAAAGTGTTAAGTAAACAACTGGGAAAGGAGCTGACAGCCTGGGAAGGAAACCCGTGGAAATCCAATCCTACATGGAGTTGGATGGATCCCAGCAGCACGGAAGCTCTACTGTATACCTTCTCTCCGCAACATGCTCAGGCTCTACATACACCCATACACCCCACAATCAGCACCCAAACCCAGAGTACGGTGCGCCTCTTCGGGCGCCCTGTGGGGAAACCAAAACAAAACAAAAAACAAGCGCTGGACAAGCCTCCACTACCTACCGGCACCAACCACCTTGCAGACCCTTCACCCGCTCCCCAAACCTCAAGCCCGAGCTCACCCCGCTCCGAGAGCTACCCTTTAACACCACAGATGCACTCTACACACCCCTCCTCGCAAGCCGACCCGAAGACATCCTTTCCGCCCGCGCGTACACCGATCTCTTTCATGCACCACCCCTAGAAAGAGTCGCACACTCCCCGCGGGGTACCTACCCGGCCGGCTGCGGCTCTCCCTGGCCGGGACCAGCGACCCAGTCGCAGCCTGGTCCCGCGTGCGCTCCGCAGTCCTTCTCGCACACTCCCCCAACTTTCACCGCCTCCTGCACTGGGGCTCCCCTGGCGAGCCCGACCCTCCTCTTAAGCGCTCCGTGACGCATGGGGAGGGGCGGGGGCGCCACTGACGCACGCGGCCCGGCGAGCTTTGGCCATACAAGGGCGCGGGGGGCGGCGCGGTTCCGGCGGGAGGCGGCCAGGAGGAGGCGCGGGGACGGGGAGCCCGAGGGGGCGGGGCGAAGAGGGGGGGCCTGGAATGTCTGCGCGCGTGACGCACGCGGGGTTCCATTGACGCAGGGAGCGCGGATTGTTTGATCTATAAATAGTTTTCCTCTCGCCCGCCGCGCACGCTAAATATAGCAGCTTCCAGACCCGTTAGGCTCCCCAAACCGGACCCGGGATCGGGTCCCGGGGTCCGAAATAACCGACTAGGAGGAGGGGGTGCTGTAGAGCCGCACCCCCAGGGCTTCCCCGGAGCAGGATCTCCTCCCCTCCAGCTGTTCCCAGTGCCTACCGTGCCCGCTCCTTCCTGCCGCTCCTTCCTGCCCATCCCTACCCCGGGCTCTGCTCCGCCTTTGCCCCTTTCCCAGCCTGTCCCGGGCACCTAGGGTTGTCACTCTCTGCCACTCGGGGCAGCCAGAGCAGGTCAGAGCTGAGACAAGCAACTCTGGAACACACCCAGGAGACGGGAAAGTGAGCTGTGCCCCCTGCCTCAGCCTTGGCAAGGTGCACTTGGTGCATCTTGCCCAGCAAGGTCTCTGGTCCCAGGGATGGCACCTAGAACCCTAGCCTCGCTCCTGGCGATGGACGATCTGGCTTTCAAAGTCTCTTCCCAAAGAACCTGGCTTTGCCAGGCCCATGCTGGCCCAACGGACTCTGCTCCAGACTGATGCTGGCTTCTCACCAATGGCCCCCCTAACCTCTGGCAGGATGGATGCACCCTAGTTGAGAAATTGCCGAATTTCAGAACCGGGTGGAGCCTGAGAAACCTCCAAACTCATGCCAACTCTTCCCCATTTTATAAATAGACTCAGAGACATAATGGTCCTTGCTCAAGGTCACTCAGCTAGGTGGTGGCACACTGGGGTAGAACCCAGGACCATCTCCAAGGGGCTCTTTTCCCTGGCCCCCTCCCTGATAAGGAAGCACTTGCCTCCCCACTCCAGCAGCTCTGAAGAGGAGCGGCTCTAACCAGTTACCGCCTGAGTGAAGGACCTGCCAGGGCTGTATCCAAGTGCAGACCAGGCTGCAAACACCTGGAGCCTATTGGGTTCAGCTGTCACCTTGCACATGTGCCCAGTCCAGCCCAAGCTTGGACTCATTTGCTAGCAAGGTAGAGACGTCTGGAGAGATGGCTCAGAGGTTTACAGCATAGTCTGCAACTTTCCCCAACTGGGATCCTCTTTGAAATATCGGTCTGTCCCCACCTCCCCCATTTCCACTGCCAGCCGCAGCCAATGCCAGCCCACTGATGCAGCAGCCTTAACTGGGAATACCCAATGACCTCCCCTTCTCCCATTTAAAAAATGGGCTGAGGGTGTAGCTTGGTGGTAGATTGTTTGCCTGGCATTTGTAACCTGGAGTCCATCCCCTCACCAGAAAAGACCTCCCTAACCAACCTGTCGCTTCCTCCTAAATCTTCACTGTCCCCCTACACATGGAGCAGCTTTGGTACAATGCCGGGGTCATTCAGTGACCTGGTCAGAAGTTACCAGAACCCCCAAGCCAACATGTAGTCTTGCTGTTATTGAGTCCACGGCTCTGAACTTTCCCGAGCCACCTTCCAAAGAACTTCTAGGCCACCTGGGGGAAGATGAAGTGTGGATAGGATCCTGGATCTTTCCCCCCACACCATCCATAGTTAGATTTTTCTCTCCTTGGGCCTTTTGTTTAAATATGGAAAACTCTCATTTGAAAACAGGACCCAGGGGTTCGATGAGGAGGCACCTTCGCTCTGAAGCACGTACATTCTTGGCCCTAGGTTGTATCACTTCTGGCTCCCTACCTTATCTCTCTACCCAGCCCTGGATGCCTCCCTCTGCTCCCAAGATGGTTTTTAATATGCCAGCAAAAACAAGCCGGAAGGGTTCTTCCTGCCAGCAAGAGCAGGTGCACTGTCCTGTCTTCAGCAGGGTGTGCTGAGGCCCAGGCTTTTCTCCACCTCCAGTCCCAGCATCCTCCTCCTCCCCACCATTCTGCCTTTGCACAGAGTGGCCCAGACCACCCTGTAGGAGAAGTGGGCATGTAAGCACTGGGGAACTCACCACCATCTCACTGTGGATACCCTGACACTGCACCCTCACCAGGGCCGGGGAACTCACGATCTCACTATGGATACCCCCACACTGCACCCTCACCAGAGCCGGGGAACTCAACATCTCACTGTGGATACCCCGACATTGTACCCTCACCCAGGCCGGGGAACTCACTATCTCACTGTGGATACCCCCACACTGCACCTTCACCCAGGCTGGGGAACTCACTATCTCACTGTGGATACCCCCACACTGCATCCTCACCCAGTCTGGGGAACTCAACACCATCTCACTGTGGATACCCCCACACTGTACCCTCACCCAGGCGGGGGAACTCACTATCTCACTGTGGATACCCCTACAATGCACCCTTACCCAGGCCGGGGAACTCAACACCATCTCACTGTGGATACCCTCACCAGGGCCAACTGCCTAGAGCCACTGCACATCGTAGAGGCTGCCCTCTTGCCGCCTCAAAGCTAGAGGAGGATGAGGAACTGCGGCTGCTACGTGGAAGTGTGGTGCTGGAGGTCTAAACTCAACCAACTACACTCTAAGTAGCATCACTAAGGGGAAAGAGTCCCTCTGTGGGGACACAGCTGGGCCACCCATGCAGGGACCAGAGTGGAGCACACAGCCCAGCAGAGGGAAGAAAGGCCAAAAGGACCTGGAGGAATCCCAGACTTCGTCCCGCTGATCATAGGCTGCCCTAGAAGCGTAGCCCAGGGCCCTGCAGGGTTGAAGCAGGCGCATACTGGATGCAAGCTGAGGGAGAGCCAGAGCAAGCCTGGGTCCAGACTAGACAGAAACCTCTCAGGGGAGCACCGAGTCTTGCTTTCAGGACTCAAACCAGGATCAGCTGTTCACTGGGGGTAGGGGAAGTGAGTAACGTGGGAAGTCCAAAACTAAAGATGAACACCTGAAACCCGCGGAGGGCAGGGAGAAGACATAACTACTCTGCCTGCCGACAAAAACCAGTGCTGACCAGTCAGGCCCACACCAGGGCCCAACCTACCGATGCACATCATCACTCGGCCCTAGGCAAGGTCCTTCGGCTAATTCCCAGTACCAGTTGCCACCACAGCCACAGGCACACTGTTCCTCTCCCCTCTGCTGGAGTCCTGCCTGGCCTCTCTGACTTCAGCTCCTGGGCCACCCAACTCCCAATAAGCCTTTTCCCACTGGTGTAGGGAGGTAAGTCCAGGAACAAGATACTAACCAAGGACCAGACTTTGGGCCAAGATACCGCACCTGAATCCATTCATTCAGCCCTCTTCCTGTCCCAAGCTTGAAATCACAACCTGCATTTTATAAACAGATCCTCTAACTCCTGTTTTATGCGTATGCTGACTTGACCCCCGAGTCCTGTAAATCCACCGTAGAAGCAGTTACAGGTGTCTCTGTGGGTGTCTTCGGTGGGTCTGGAAGCATGCCAGTTCCTGATTCAGATGGTTGGGCCCCAAGTGTGTTGGCTCTTGAGGGGTCTTCAGACTACACTCCCAAAGCTTTTACCCTATGACAGCAGTTCTCAACCTGTGGGTCACGACCTCTTTGGGAGGTCTAAGGGCCCTTCCACAGGGGCTGCCTAAGACCATCGGGAAACACAGATATTTACATTACGATTCATTAACAGTAGCCAAATTTACAGCTATGAAGTAGCAATGGAAATAACCGTATGGCTGGGGGTCACCACGACACGAGGGACCATATTGAAGGGTCGCAGCGTTAGGAAGGTTGAGAACCGCTGGTTTAAGTGGATGCAGCTGCAGCTGGACCTGACTGAGTTCAAGTTCAAGTGTATGTTTCTGAAATCATAGTAGCTGTTTCTCATTAGATGTGTGTCCTGTCCACGGTTGCTCAGAACAGAGGGAGCTGGCACGAGTTGCCCCGGATGACCTTAGGAAAGCATGGTGGTTCACATCTGTAATCCTAGCACTCAGGCAGGAGAATCACTGAAAATTCAGGGGCAGCCTGGTACACATATCCAGACTCGGTCTCAAAAAGCAGGATGAGGAGAAGGAAAACAGTATGATAGGGATCAGAGACTCAAGCTCAGCCCCATCCTGTGAGCCACTCTCCCCTTGCAAAGGGCCTTTGCTCTTCAGTAGCCTGAGCTAGCAATGTCTACCATCACTCCTCAGCCGAGTTGGGTAAACAGGGAATAGGGAAGTGGACTCACACAGCCCTTTCCCACGATGCCCCTTGGGCTGGGCCCCACCCTGTAAGCCGGAGGGCAGGAACCTCCCCCCTCTTCTACTAAGGCGGTCCCCACCCACGGCCTCCATGCTCTTCCCATGGGGTGGGTCCAGGGAGGCGACCTCGTTTCCTCCCACCGAGAAGTGGCCCCGGGAGCTTCCCCGGCTCAGCCCCATGCTGCCAGCCCTGACCGGGCCACTTCCGCTTCCTGCCCTGGCAGTGGGCAGGGGATTTGTGTTGTGGGCAGAGAAGTGCTACCTGCGGCCTCAGGGGCTTCCCATGGCAGCCCTGTGAACCCAGGTGAAGGATCAAGTCCAACTCTCTGGCTCTCACCTCCTGGTCCTTCTCCAGGCCCTGCAGTGACCCTTATATTTTTACCCCCTCCTCCCCTCCCCCCCCAAAAAAAAACAGGTTCCCAGGTTAGCCCATAAAACATGTCCCCTGCTCCCTCAATACAGGTAAGCTCTGGAAGAGCTCCAGGCCAGCAAATCTCCTTGTAGTTAAAACCTGGCCGGGTCCCATGGCCCTTAGAAACCATTTCCCACGTGAGCATCGTAAGTTCCATTGGTGGGGAACTCAGTTCACTGGGGAAGGGAAAGGCTGAACACACCAACAGAACACTTGGACTGGGATGCCAGGAACCTGCAGGGAACAGGCAGGGACAGGCAGGG